GGCCAAAAGTAGCCCTCCAGGTCTCTCTGTTCAGCTCTTGAGGCTCTCCCTGGGCAGTGCCTCTACCAGGGAATGGCTGGGTTAGATAGTCCCATAGGTCCAGTCACCTTTCTAACATTCCCAAAGCCAGCATATGGGTTAATTGTAGTGTGGCAGTTAAAACCATAAACTACGTGCTGTGGTCTTTTTGGTTCAAATCTCAGCAGAGCCATGAACTCACTGGGTGGCCTTAGGCAAGTCATCATCTCTGAGCCTCAGTAATCATCTCTTCTGACCTATGATATGGGGATAATAAATAATGCTGGCCTACCACAAAGGGTTAGCTTAGGAACTACTGAGATAGTGTTTGTAGAACACTTACAGTATTGGCCTGTGTTTTTTTTGAAGTTTGTGTTTATAAGCTGCTTTAGGAGGCCTTTGCCTTGAAATATGGTGTAGTGGCAGAGTGCTGGACTGTGGCCTCGAAGACCAGGATTCGAATCCCTACTCAGTCAGGAAGTGCACTGGGTGACTTTGGGCCAGTCACTGTAACTTAACCTAACCTACCTCACAGGGTTTTAGTGATGATCAAATGGGGATGGGGAGACCCGTGTTCACCTTGCTAAGCTCCTTGAAGGGAATTCTGGATGAAGCAATAGTAATAATGATAAGGACATTTGCTACGCAGGTGCTAGTTTTTAAAATAGTTTTAATTGCATTTAATTTTTAAAAGTACAATGCGCTTTCAGGTAAAGATTAGAAGGATTGCACTCATCATGTCATTTATTTAAATAATATGAGAAAAATATATAAAATAACAGCCCTGGCATCAGTGAAGGCTGGCCTATGAGGGTGAATGGGGAAATGCCCCACCAACCTCAATTTGCCCTCAGCCAGACCCCACCTGCCTGCCTTCTTTCTTACAAAGAGTAAAACTCTGCCTGTGATTGACTCTGGCTCCACCTACTGTTGACCTTGTCGGTTTGCAAGCCCCCTCCATAGAGGCTGGCCCCTCTCACTGTCCTCGGAGCTTGCATACCGGTAACCTCCTCTGGCTGATATCCAGACAGACCAGGGAGATTTTGATAGGCGACATTTTCCCAAGCATGGGTAAAATGCATAACCCCTCCCTCCTCCTTCCGCAGGGGAAAGAAAATAAGTTAGAAATCTATTTACATGATGTTTATTTCTGACATTACAGCACTAGAGAAAAACACGTCCTTTCAGTTCAGTTCTTCTAGCACGTCAGACAAACTTCCTGAACATGCGCAGTCGGAAGGTTTCAAGTTACACTCTTCACAAAGACTTATCCAGCCTGTGAACGTCCTGGGAAATTCTTCTTTCCCACAGATAGGCGCATCATGTGATGTCAACAATCTGGGTGTCTGCAGCTGTGATGTTTCCATATACTGACAGACCTCCCCATATTCCACCCTATCACTGCCAATGGCCACGAGTCACCGCACCCTGCCATACCACAAATTGCTTAGATACTATTATGTCTGCCTCATATTAATCATGATTGCTAATGCAATTTTTGTTTGTTTTGTAAACCAGCACTCTGCTGTCAAGCCTTTGATCACCAAACGCATCATGAAAAGTAAGTACAGCCAGCCACAGTCAAGTTCCTTATCTTATCTATGATAAAAGGCTGCTCTTACTTTGGCTTCAGTGTTGCTTTGCATTATATCATGCAACTATTAAAAAACAAACAAATAAAAAACCCCTCAAACGACTTCAAAACTTAATCCAATAATTCTGTCAAAATTTATCTAATGAAGTTTAGCAGGATCCACTTCCTAGTCATGAGGTCATTGTTCAAATTGGAAGACCAGAACAAGCTGGAAGTAAATGAAAGGCCCAGCGTGCAGGATAAGCACATTTTTAGGCACTTTAGATTATAAATTATTGGCAACGTGTCTTCAGGCTATGAAGTGCAATTTTAAGCATGCTACTCTCAGTTCTAAATTCTAGCCTTCTGACCTCTGGTGTTGTGTTAGCATTCAGGCAAGTGTCAAGCTTGTTCTATGAACACACGGCTTGTTCTTGATGTAGAACTGTGTGAAGGCAAAGAGGTCCAGCAAACATCGTGCAGGGGTTAAATAATATTTCGCAGCCACCCCCCCCCAAGCCAAGCCATTGACTTTAGGGACCAAGCGACTGCGAAACGACCAACTAGAGTGGAGCAGGGCGTAGCTCTGCCCACACCCGGGAGGTGGGAGATGCCTGGGGGCCCAAGCGCAACGCGTACCCGCCTTGAAGAGGATCCAATTTCTTCTAACTTGAATCCATTGGTTTGGGTCCTACACTCTGGACTAGGAGAAAACAAGTTTGCTCTGTCATCCATGTGACAACCCTTCAGATATTTGAATATGATGATATATCACCTCTCAGTCTTCTCTTCTCCAGGCTAAACATATATAACTCTTTCAATCTTTCCCCCTAAGGCTTGGTTTCCAGACCTTTGATCATCTTGGTCACTCTCTGGTGCACACGTTTCAGCTTGTCAATATCCTTCTTAAACTGTAGTGCCCAGAACTGGATAAAGTACTCCTTGCCTTTTTGGGGCTTAAAGTTTGCTTCATACATTATGTGGCAGCAAAACCAGGTTCTTGCACCCATACTGTATTTCCTAAAGCATACGTTCCCCTACAAGCACAATATGTAAAATAGACTGTACAGAAAGGCACTTGCATCACAGCCCTCTGTTTTGTATCTCTGTCTGTATTAATAGCAGACTTCTACGTAAAGGAACATGAATTTCCAAAGGACATTTCTAAACTCCCCCCCCAAAAAAATTGTGGCCTGTTTTTAAGCAGCGACTCAGTTTTTCTCACCAAGTTGCAAGACTAAAGAGAAACATTGGTCTCTTATGATCTTCCTTAGACCTGGCTTTCAAGAAGGCCCAAATAACCCTAAAGGTAGAGGGACCCCTGACCATTAGGTCCAGTTGTGACCATCTCTGGGGTTGCGGCACTCATCTTGCTCTATAGGCCGAGGTAGCTGGCGTTTGTCCACAGACAGCTTCCGGGTCATGTGGCCAGCATGACTAAGTTGCTTCTGGCAAACCAGAGCAGCACACGGAAACGCCGTTTACCTTCCTGCCGGAGCGGTACCTATTTATCTACTTGCACTTGACGTGCTTTTGAACTGCTAGGTTGGCAGGAGCAGGGAACGAGCAACAGGAGCTCACCACGTTGCAGGGATTCAAACCACCGACCTTCTGATCGGCAAGTCCTAGGCTCTGTGGTTTAACCCACAGCGCCACCCGCGTCCCAAATAACCCTAGGCCTGCATAAATAAATCCAGAGTGCATTCTGATAACTTCTTAGATCCATGTGGTTAGGTTCCAAATCATAGATAAAGGGTGGGCAGCCTCAGGCCCTAGGGACAAAATATGGGCCTGTGGGCCTCTCTATGTCACCCTTGGGACTCTTCCTAAGCCATGACCCTTCCTAGGGCAATCCTGTTCCATGCTCTTCTCGGGGTCTTTTGCCTGGCTGGAATGTGTCCTTGAATTCTGATGATGCCTCTTCCTTGCCTGGATGGAGAGAGATGCGTGTATAAATGTCTAAGTTACAGCCATTTGCTCCACATGCTTTTGTCTCTGGCCCCACCGGCAGCTGGCAGCTGGCCCCTGGAAAGCCTCCTTGGGCTGACAAAGTTCCCCAACTCTTGCCATGCAGAATCAATTTTCCAAGACAGGGAAAAACTGCGAATATGGAATCTGAACATCTGATACCTCGATGCTGGCAGATTATAGAACAAATAAAGCCCTTTAAAAACATCTAAAAACCAATTTTAAGCTCTTTGTGTTTAAAGGGAGCTTGAGACGCTGACAAAATATTGATTCCAACTGTGACAGATTCTCCAGAGAAGTTTCATTGCTCTAAATACACAGATGGAATTGCTTTTGAACAAGCCCTCTAGGGTGTCACCTACACTCATTAAGTACCTGATGTATTATTTTAAACAAATAAATGTCACGGTCCCCAAAGACTGAAATGGCCTTATTAAATTTTAGATCTATTTTATTGTAACGAGCTGATGATAATATGAGTTTGCAATACCAGATACAACCAAACTCATCCTCCGGAAATCTCTGCTAAGCCCTTTCCCCATCAGTGTCTGCAAAAACAAAAAAACAGGCCGCTGTTGTTGTTGTTTTTATCTCTTTGTTTAATATTTTCTTGTAAAATGATCCTTGTCTGATGGATACCTTGGAATATTTGGAGTGAGACAGCATCACAGGAGAAAAGGAGTGGGATGACTCTGCTACAGGGATCACTGCCTTGGGAGCGCTCAATCCAGGTGCTGGATTTTGCTGTTGGCAGAAATAGATAAAGGGTCATTGGCGGATGAATTATAGGGTACGTTTGTGCTAAAACAAATTAGCACTAAGGGGCTGTTTCAGTTTGCGTATTTAAAGGGCATACCTAAATATCAGTCTTGAAGAGTGTCAGACACCAAGTCATTGTACATCCAGCCCACATAAACCAGCAGTAGCACTCTCACCAGCTCTACGCTGGGGAAACCAGCCAGATGGGCAGGGTACAAATAATAAATTATTATTATTACTATGCAAAATGATGGTGAGACCAGTGCAGGGTCATGCAGCCCGCCACCCAAGTTACTGATGCATGCATATTTTCCGCGCTTAACACCACATGCACGACAAATAGAAAGCACAAGCAGTTGCAACCCGAATATCGCCTGAGGAATTATGTTTTGGTTTCTCCCCTGGGTAAGGAGCGCAATTTGGCAAAGGTTGTGGCTCAGTGTTACAGGACATGCTTTGCATGCAAAAGGTCCCAGGTTTAGTCCCCAGCACCTCTAGGTAGGGCTGAAAGCGATTGCTCTTTGAAAACCCGGAAAGCTGTTGCCACTCAACATGGAGACCACCGTCATGTTGGGCAGGTGGGTGGGGCCATCTAGCTTTCAATCGCCTGATGTCACAATGATGTCAGGTGACCCATGTGGTGATTGTTGGGGCTTCAAAGCACCATTCACTGCCCTCTGCAAGCAGGGGGAACAGCCGTAGCTCAGCGGAAGAGCATCTGGTTGGCATGCAGAAGGTCCCAGGTTCAGTCCCCAGTATCTCCAGGTAAGGTTGGGAATGTCGCCTGCCTGAAACCCTGGAGAACTGATGCCAGTCACTGTCAACAATATTGAGCTGGATGGACCAAAGGTGCAACACAACTTCCTTTGTTCCTGTGATGATCAACTGATATCAGGTGTAGGGCAGGTAAGTTGTGGATTGTACAAATAGCCTGGCAGGTCAGATGGGGAGGCCCGAGGTGGCTAATTGGGATTATGGGCTGGAGATTTCCCATCACTGGTGTACGCAATAGATGGGCGTGGTATAAAGTAGCTTCTGCAGATAAAGGGCAGGTGAAAGACCACAGAAGGAAGACACTCAGGGCTTTTCTTGCCAATCATAAGAACATAAGAAAATCCCTGCTGGATAGACTAACAAACCCATCTAGTCCAGCAGATGCTCTCAGATGTCTATGGGAGCATATAAGGAGGACCTGAATGCAACAGCACTTTCCCCAAATGTACTTGCAAGCAACTGGTATTCAATAGCATACTGCCTCTGAGAGCAGAAGAAAACATAGTCATAATGGCTAGTAAACCCTGCTAGCTTTATTCTCCATGAATTTGTCTAATCTTCTTGATTAGGCAAGGATTGAACCACCTTCCAACGAGTAAAAGAAACTAGGCTTTCAGAAATCCAGAATTCTCTTTCTGCACAACTTACTGAAAATAATGGTGAGATTTAACAACAGCTGCCTCGTACATGCTCATATAAGTGGCCAGATGTTTAGCAATGCCGCACGTGTCAGATGCATGTATAGTTTTATTTTCGGCAAAATTGGAGCTTGCCATTTTCTGAACAAAATAATGACATATGCTAAACTCAAGGGAATGCTGTTTTCTAGAGATTCATAATTGGTGCCCATCAGTGCTGTAACTGAGCAACCACCAATTGTGCATGATGGTGTAACGGCCAACGTCTGTAACATCTGGTTCATATTCTTCTTCATATTCTCAAAGGATTTGTAAGCTCTGCAGTGTTTGGTTTAGTGGTTCGAGGCTTTCACTTATTCATTTATTCACGAATGCTTCCTCACCCAGCATGACGCCCAGAGTTTGCCTTAGCAAAAGCAGATCAAAGAAGTACATTTTGTACTTGAACCTAAAGGTGGAGGCTCATGATGGTAATTAACACCTGTGAAAGCTCACATTTAAATGAAGTCAAACCCTGCTTTGAGCCTGACTAGGCTCTATGATGGTTGTTGCTCCTTTCCATGTGGTCTTGCTGCATCATGGGCAGCCTGGCGAAAGAGGACTCCCTTGTTCTGGTTCCCAAACCATACTTTTAAAAAATGGTTTAGATTCTGGGATATCCTTCCCTCTCCTATATGTGAAGCAGCAGCCATGAGCTGCTTCAGACATATTCTAAAAACTGATCACTTTGACCTGGCCCTCCCTGACCCTAAGACTGGACCCAGTTTTATGTACTTGAATCGCCTGAATTCCTGTTTTTATAGGCTTTTATGGGTTTGTCTTTTTCTTTGCTTTTTGCTTATAATTTTGTTTTAATGATATTGTTTGTTTTTATATTTCACACTGCTTAGAGATTTTGAGAACATTAACTGGTTTATGTATATGCTTTGTGATAACCAAATCCACCCATACTACATGGAACTTTAATGTGCTGAGATTGAAAACTGGGGAAGCATATTGGAGCTGGAAATGTGTTGAGTGGGGGTAGGGGGAAAACCTACCTACCTCTATCCCTTGGAGTCTTGCTAATAGCAGTACAATACACCCATAGATTATATTTACAGAAGATGCCAGAGCAGGGTGCCGTGAAAGGGTGTGTGTGTGTAATATTCTAGAGCTGTTTTTGGTTGTACTGAATAATCCTGTCAGCGTTGCAGAGCCTACTGATTTAATGCATCCTTACAAAAGTGGATTAGAGATCACATAAAAATTATTTAGTAGCATCAGAGGAGTGAAGGCTATCGGCTGCCATGAATTATCCACCTCTCTTATCGAACAACGCCCCCTGATCTTCACTGTAACAAATTATCAGTTCCAGAGCATACTCACTGCCGTTGCCTGGCCATGTCTATACTTGCTTTTCATGGGCTCAGACTTCCAGTTAACAAACTTTCCCTGAGCAAACATTAGAAATTTATGTAATTCGTACATTCTGTCTATTTTTAGCCTCTGAGTGGAATCCAAGACTATGGCTTTGGGGACCCCACTAGACCCCTATTGGGGAAGCAAGATTTGTTGGGCATGCTAATGGCATGAGTCTTTCCATCTGGTGCACAGGTTGCATATATGTGTAAATAAAACCATACATCTTAAAGAAAAGTCTCCATTAACCTTCATGCGTTGGGACCTGCTGGGAGACTGGCTGCACACAACAATACCTTGGACTGTGCCACTGCCTAAGCTTGCAGCAAGATGTGCTGTGGCTATTGAAATAAGTACCTGCTGGTGACCACATGCTCCTATCCCAAAGAACCCACAGGACATCTGGGTGGCATGTGTTGCACTAGAGAACCATGGATGAAGCTTTAGAAATGTTGCTTACAGTCTACTGAGTAGCTCAAAGAGATCTGAGCTTAGAAGCCAAAAACCATCTGTGGAAACAGATCCAAAATACTCTCTCTCTCTCTCTCTCTCTCTCTCTCTCTCTCTCTCTCTCTTTCTCTCTCTCTGTGTGTCTCCCCACCCATCTCCCCACCCCCCCACACTCACTCTCATCTGGAGAAAATATTTGGTTCTCTGGGACAACAAGGTAACTTGGTATCTGTGTATCTCGTTTAATGGGAGTTTTTGCTCTTGTTCTAAATAACCTTCTGCTTCAGTTAAGGGTTTCCTTTCCCCTTCAGAATATGTTCCAAGCAGTTTCTTGTTTGCTTTGTTTACTCTCCTACTTGTTCTAGGATCACAGCAGCTTCTTGTCCCTGATGGAATTGCTCAGCTTCAGATCAACAAATAACAAGGGGAGAGAGAGAGCGTGGGAGGGAGATGAGGAGGAACATTGGTGTGTTCTCTGCTGAATCTTTTTTTTTTTAAGAGTTAACATTAAATTGATAGTGGCAGAGCTAGTGTATCAACCAAATAGACATCTAGACACTGGCATCCTTCTTTGCATCTGTATCTGGCTGTACTTTACGACTACCAAACACAATGACCCCATATCGTAGTAGTCTAGCTGATTACAGGTGAAGTTAGCCAAGTGCTGTGGATTTTCCTGTGTTTTGTCTCAAGGAGACAGTTTACAGGGGGTTCAGTGTCAATCTGGGGTTTCATTGGGTCCTAGATGGATGGTAACCTAGGCTTCATTGCTCTTCCTGTATTCCCTTGCATTGCAGCTAGGAACGTTACTGAGTCATAATTGTGGACTTTTTTGTGCATGCATCCTGCAACTGACTGAGCAACCCCAGATGTCCTATCTATTGAACATTCACCCTAGTTTGCTGACACAAAACTTACATAGAGGTTAGATTGTATCCAGTCTTTACTGAGTCTTCATTTTAATATATTTAATATATGCATATAGTTTTACTTCTAACAATGTCTGCTTGCTTATTATGATTGTTTTAAAAACATTTTAGCAATTCTCATTTTTATATGTAAACCACCTTGAGTCCTGTCAGAAAAAAGCGAGGTATAAATAAACATTATAATAAACATAATAATTCATTCTGATTTGCTCGCTTGGTGGTTATATGACTTTCTATTAACCAATTCTTTATGTCACACTTTTCAGTGCATTTCCTCATCACTTTTCAAACCACAAAATGCCAAGGTGGGCTTTTTGTGTGTGTTTTTTAAAAGCAGTTTTGTTGCACTGGTGCTTTAATTTTGCAAAGCTACATTTCCTGGTATGCACTTGAATCCCTCCCACGGTCAGTTGGAGGTGTACCTCCTGCTTCCTTTGCTTCTTTCCCCATTTGGGGCAACACAGTTATTGCTTTGCTTTGTTGCTTAATCTGTTGTTGGAAGCCTTTGAAGATGGTATGGAAACGGCAGCTGGTGCAGAATTCAGGGGCCAGGTTGCTGACTGGGTCAAGAGATAGTCTGAACACACAGATGCATGCCTCGTGCCATCTCTATCTGTTTTTAGGCACCAAGCAAAACTGTTCTCATTCATCCTGCCTTTGGATCTTAATTTCTATTTATCTTTTAGTAGGTGAGGTTGAATTGGCTCTGCTTTATACACAGTATAGGTGTGTTTTAGGTTCCTTTACACTTGCTTTTAATGTTCATTTTGTAAGCTGCTTTGAGTTCACCTTTCTGAAAAAAGTGATTAAGTAATAATAGTAGGGTAGTGGCCTAGAAGCTGGCCACTAGAGCATCGTGTTCTGCAGATGTTACTGTAGATATCATATTAGATTTTGAACAGTTCTGGAGGCTGCAGATGACTTATGTACTTCTGCTTCAGCAAAGATCAGCTCCATTAACTCCTTCATTTTACTCAGTTCTCTGCTTTATTCACAGCTTCAAAGTCCATGGAAGTAGGCACGTTTTGTGCATTGCTCTGAAATTAAAAAGGATTAAAGCTGCACATTTGAGCTGGTTAAAATAAATTGGTCTATTAACAAGGTTCTGTGCAAGTTGAAACCGGGCCAAAATGCTTAAGGACTGCTGCAGGTTTCCGGAGCCAAAACATGGGTAGGGAGGTGTGCATGAATACAACACAACCACGCCAACAGTATCTGTAAACTTAACTCTTACTTTTATAGTATAGCTACAAAGCCTATCATTGGGTAAGGTGTTCTTCAAAATTCACAAGATACAAATGCAAGCTTCTCCAAAAATAATTTTGGCCTACAAAACATACATTCAAATGAAGTTATTAAATACTTTACATACCTCCTTAAAGGATTTCTTCACCTCTACTAGTGGGTGCCAGTGTGCAATTGGTTTCCGTGGGTAAGCCAGCATTTCATTCCAGTGGTCTCGGCCTAGTCCCTCAGCATTGTTTGCTACACGGCAAACCCCAATAATCTCATTATGGCCGACCCTGAAAGGGGGAACCACACACGGAACATGTTTTAGACATGCTTTCTTTTGCCACAGTGACACATTTAAACCCGTCCCTTCTGCTTCTTCCACCCTTCTTGCTGAAGCTACAAATGAGAACAGAATTTTAATACAGCATGCCTCACAGGCAAATCAGAGACATGTCTGCAAATGGGATAAGGGCTGTCCCTGGTAAATAGGGAGTGTATGCTGTCATTATCAAGACTGATCTCCATGTGAATCTTCAAGCATGAACATGAGCCTGTGATTAATGCTCCTGTCCCCATCACCAATGGACTTCACGACTTCAGAGGAAGCCAGAGTCATGCTCTTTCCAGAGCCAATTAAATCCTAGGAACATGCCCTGCTGACCCGAAGGGGAAATACTCAGGAAGCAAGAAGTGCAACTTGATATTTCTAATAACATGACTTGTCTCTTGCACAACCCAGTCACGTAATCAAGTGAGTCACACCATGGAAACTCAAGAACGAGGAAATGGCTCGAATGGGATTTAAGCATTACAGAGATTCCCTCCTACCGGTCGTAATCCATAACAGAGATAAGCAGGCTGACTTGGTCCATGTTCTCTGGAGGGATATCAAAGATTATTGCCTCATTGTAGTTAGGATTAAGTGTGTTTCTTTTAATGGTGGTTTTCTTCTTCTTTAGCCTCCTTCCATCACAGAGCAAGGACACCTTGACGTAAGGATCTGGAGAGCAGGAGAAAGGGAAAATGACAGCACTGATGAAAGGCCTTTTCTCTTCCTCCCAGTATCCATGGGATCCCTGCTGCTCACATGACCAAATGGGATATGGAACATGTGGAAGCAGGAGTGGAAGAGAAGAAAGTCTCTTGGTTTGCATGCACCTAGGCTCTGGGCAAAAAAACCACATGGGATCATGGATTGCCATCACAATCTCACTCCTTCTTCCACATCTTCAGTAGTATCATGTTTGATCATTCAAACCCAACTATGGTTAGTTAACAATGAAAACTGTGCGCAAAAAAGTGGGGTCAGTGTTGGGATACTGCCAGGGAGACAGAGGCATCAGGCAGCCTACGTCGTCTCCGGACGATCACCGGTCTCCCGTTGGAACAGCATCAGTCAATTAGCGACACAAGCCTCAGACAGATTCCAAGACTCGTGCACACCCTTTTCAGCAGTCTCCACAATGGAAGATTCAAACAGAAGAGCATATTTACAGCTTTATTCAGTGCTGGTCAGAACAAAGGAAAAACATGACTGCTTGCATCCGTGTCGAGGAAACAGCCAGAACAAAAGTCATATACAAAACGGAAGTTCCCAGCGAGAACAGTGCTGGGAGTAAACAGGCATGTGACACACAACAATCATGCCTGACTCTTTTAAGGAGGAACGGAAACTATATCCTAACATCCTCCCCCTTTCCGTGTAACCTGTAGTACCTGGTTCAACCCAATTGCAACCTCTGAACATAAACATTAAGTTGTTCTCTGTTAACAACCTTAAACAACAGATCAGCAGGAATTTCATTTCCTGGCATGTAGGACACCTGAATGAGTCCTTTCTGAATAAACTCTCATGCACGATGTAACTATATCCTAACAGTCAGAACATAACATTACCTTTATGTCATATTATAAACTAATATCCTATAAACTAACAGCAAGCTCATTTTCTGAGTGTGGACCCACAACGAGACAAAGCAGCACTATCTATGCACAATATTAGGCTTGGGAAAATGTACAGATATTTTGCAGGGGAGAAGAGGGGCTCACCAAAATAGCCCAATGAGGGGCTGAGCATGCTCAGTGGCCACAGAATGCTGAGTGACTATTGGAGGGGATGTGAGGAGAATGGCATAGAATATTTGCGGAAAGGATGCAGCTGGTTGGCTGGCTGGAACCTGGAAGCTGAGGACTCCAAACCGCAGCACTTTGCTACAGGTCCAACATGTAACAGTCTAGTGATGAACACTTCCTCAGGTGTGCCAGATTTCTTAATTTGTCAGTTTTAGGGATGTCATAACTATTGCTCCCATGCTTTGCAGCAGGGAAGTGTTTACGGGGTGGGGTTGTTTTTTGATTGTCAAACTCTTCTTTCTACAAAATTCAATGGACCTCATTGAATTACATGGAAGACTAGAAAAGTATGGGTTGGAACATACATATTTTATTTTATTTTACTTTGGGGACATTAAATCAGCTGTCTGTCAATCCAGAGACCATTGGTGGTATTCAAGTAAGTTGTACTCAGAGTAGACCTATTGGAACTGATGGATCTAACAGTGGTGTCCATTAACTTCAGTGGGTCTGCTCTTGAGTAAAACTTAATTGAATACCATGCCATGTATGTATGTATGTATGTATATGTGGGCCTGCTTTTCTGTAGGGAGGTAGTGATTTTGTAATTATGCAGCTCTCCACCAGTCCATTTACTATTCTTTAATATGAGACAGGTGTTGGTCATGCATGAGCATCCCTCCAGCTCTTTGGTTGCACACTTTCCTTGTGCACCGTGTCTGATAAGCTATATGTCTGTGAACTATTTTCAAGAAATGAATTCATGTAAGGGGTTTTAGCAGCGCTTTTGTCAATGGAAACAGAGGGGAAAGAGAAGGGAAAATAAGGCAGCAATACCTCCCTAGCTGCCCCGGAGATTGACTTCGGCAAATTGCTTCTGAGTTTCCAACATAGTTCAAATTCTATGTAGGCTGCTGGAGAAAATCGCTGCGTATTTAGAAGTTCCAGTAACTATATAGGGCATCACTGCTGAGCTACTGAGCTGTTTTCCCTCTGAACCATGGATTTGAAGTGATTCAATCTGCATCAAATGCCATCTGAGCAGAAATGTTTGTCTGCCCAAACAGTCTCTGCCGTTGCTGCTGTAGATTAAAATGTTTGCCAGCAATACTCAAGACACTGATATGTGGAAACCTGGGCCATTAAAAATAGTTGTTATGGCAGAAACTCAACTATCTGCACAATGAAAGTTCTCAAAAAGAATTATATATGTGTGTGTTTTTATATCAGCTCTATCATTTTCCAAATAATCCGTGTGGCAAATCTACAGGGAACAGAATTTGTGGAGAAGTTGCAGTGTTAATCCAAAACAGCAAAAAAACAAAACAGAACAAAAGAGTCTTGTAGCACCATGTAAGCCCATGAAATCTTAGGAATTAGAAGATGTGATTAGTAAACCCAATTTATGCAATCTCAGTTTGGGGTTAGCTGAGCTTCAATCAGATCTGCAATCAGATCAATTGGATTGACCATTGGCTCACTATTGGTTTGCTCCACAGCTGACTGGGAAAGTGGTGGAGGGTATAGGAACACACAGTGCGATCCTGCAAAAATTAGCCACACCATAAATCTATGGAAACCAGTGTGAAATTATTGTTTTATCCTTTTTGTTTTTGTAATTGTTGTTGTATTAATTCATAGAGTGCTACCAACGTACACAAGGCAGGGCTCTGCCCCGAGGGCTTTCTGGCTAAAATCTGACACTGTGGAAACAACAAGAAATAGGGAGGGAGGTGGAGTGAAGGGGAAGAATAAGATATTTCAGTTACACATCGTTAGGTCTGGTTACAGTAGAGCAGCCATTGCCAACCTGATGCTTTCCCCATGCTTTGGACTCCCATCAGCCCCATCTTTAAAGCCTGCCTAATGCTCCCTCTTTCTCTACTTAGGTCTTGGATTCTGACCTAGCTCTAGTGATGCAGTCTCAGGCTTGCCAGAGCAACAATGCTTTCAAGAACTTCCTCTGACCTGCTCCAGCCAAAATCTTCAGTGCATCATACTATTGTTTGTGTATGGACGGGAAGGAAATACTTCTGTTTTGTTGATGGCTAGTTTGAATGAATGGTATCCATATAACAAAGAAATCCATTGTCTGATTATTAAAGCAAGACAGTGGCACCATTCCTAACTTGGAACTCCCTGCCTATTGACTGTACTCTTTTCTGTGCCTGCTAAAAGCATTTTTGTTTCGGCAGAATGTTGACCTGTGTTTTAATTTGGTGTTCAGCTTACTGATGATTTTATGGTTTTATGCTTTTTGTAAATTGGGGTGTTAGATGGGGGACCCGTTGTGCTCCTTCTAGGGTAGTTTGCCCACCTTTGGTCCCCACCCTGTGCTCAGCTCCACCTGTGGCTCCTAGAGGCTGTAAGCATACAACAGCAGCCACAGCCTGGGAAAGGGCTTCAACTGGCAGGTGGAACCAGGTGAGGGTAGCCAGTGGACTCAAACCCTTGGTGAGTTAGGGACTTTCCCTGCATGTGAAGACAGGCTCTGGCAGATTGAGCAGACAGGACCAATAATGCACCCAACAGTCACCAATGTGGTTACAGTGGTACCTCAGGTTACATATGCTTCAGGTTACAGACTCCACTAACCCAGAAATAGTGCTTCAGGTTAAGAACAGTTTCAGGTTAAGTACAGACCTCCGGCACGAATTAAGTACTTAAACTGAGGTACCACTGTACTGCACATACTGTAGAGGGAAATGAGGGGTAGATGGAGCTTGTCAACCTGAGAAAGTAGCCCATCTAGGAGAGGGAAAACTCTGATCCTAAACCTCTGCTGCCTTGCGGGATATCTTCAGGAGAAGAAAAAACTAAGAAGTGAATCCTAAACAAATCCAGAGAAGAGTCCCTAAGATGGTGCCTTGTATGCCTCCTTCTGGCAACTCCTGCAGCTAAGCTGGTGCCTAATGTATTTCTCTGCTTTCGTTAGAACCGCATCAGGGTGGCTGGGGGGGGGGTTGTCATCTGGGCAGTGTAGGACCTCCATACACACTGCCCAGGCTTGCACCCTAGGGAGGTCACTTCGGTGCTGCTAATTCAGCAAAAACAACGTGGGAGGCAGCAGTTACTGGTCTCTGCAGCCACTGTGATTCTCCAGCAGTTTCACTTCACCCCCAGAGGTGCACTCCATTGTCTCTTGAGACAGATGGAGGCAAACAACAACAACTTTTTGTTACACACTTTGAGGTTTTGTTGCACTCTTGTGAAATAAATGAAATAAATGTATCATCACAGGAGCAAGATCACATATAGAAATTCCTTGCTCTGAGCAAGGGAACACTCACCTGAGTAACCAGTTATGTCCATCGCTTTGAGATTCCTGCATTTAATGACTGTTAAAGTGAGGCGACCTGCAGTTGGCAGATAACAAAGGGAAAACATGATCTCCCCCAGGTCCACACTTTCCTTTAATGAAAGAGAAAACACAGAGCATTAGAAATGCGTAAGAAGCAAACGTAGCCAGGGCCGGCCCATCCATGAGGCAAGCTGAGGTAACCACCTCAGGCTGCAGGATCCACAGCAGCAGCTGATCCTGATGTAGATCTTTATTTTCCCCTCCCCTTGTTCCAGATATAGATATTCACTCACCCCTTCTTCCCTGGTGGGGAGGGGAGTGCCATTTTGTGGTTTGCCTCAGGTGCCAAAATGTCTTGGGCCGGCCCTGAACACAATAATAATTTATTATTTGTACCCCGCCCATCTGGCTAGGTTTTCCCAGCCACTCTGGGCGGCTTCCAACAAAATATTAAAATACAATAGTCTGTTAAACATTAAAAGCTTCCCTAAACAGCGTTGCCTTCAGGTGTCTTCTAAAAGTCTGGTAGACCAATATTTTTCTCCTTTGCATTTTCTCTCTATCTTTTCTAGATCCTTTTAACTCCCACCTCCCCCAAGGCAAGGCAAGGCAAGGCAAGGCAAGAGGAAGCAAAGTGCTCATCACTAATACCACTCTGAAAATGGTGACAGGTTGAGAAACTATGCATTAGGCTTCTATAACTGTGGGAAAAAATGTGGTGTGAATGGAGTGGATGCCAAGTCACTGTTGGCAGACATGTAGTCATAATTTTGACTATATTTAAATCATCTTCTGGAAGTAAGTTCTGATATCTGTAGTGTAGGCTGCATGGCCATCTGTCAGGAACTCTAGCTCTGATTCCTGAAATGCAGAGGGTTGGACTAGATGACCCCTGGGCAGATCTGTAGCTAGGTGATCTTGCGCCCCTGGCAGAACTGTCCAGATTGCACCCCTTAGCAACGGACAAATTAGCTCTTCTTCCTGCTTCTCCTCCATGGGAGGGGGCCACCTGTTCAATTCCTCACACACTAATCAATATTTTTTATTTATAGACATATTTATGGACATATAAGCTGATTTTGCGCACCCCCTTGCCTGCACCCCTGGCAGGGGCCTTCCTCACCACCCCCTAGCTACTAGCCCTACAATTCTATGAATCTTCTCATTAACTTAGAACAACTAACTTAGGTGTTCATCTTAAGCTATTCCGAAACAGGAGGAGGAAGGCAAGGGAAGTAGGACCATGCTATAGGCCAGGCATGTCGAAAGTCCATTTCAGGGGCCTTATCCGGTGGCCCGCTGGTCGATTTAATCCTGCCCCCAAAACACTATATGTCCTGGGGTAAAATTGTAAAAAAAGCTCAGCAACTAGGTCGGCCCTTACGCATGTTCACTTCATCAAATCTGGCCCTCTTTGAAAAAAGTTTGGGCACCCCTGCTATAGGCCCTGCTGAAAGACTAGCAACTTTTGTCTCCTCTTCTCCTGGAATTGTCTTTCCATTTCAACTGGCTCATATAAAAACTTTGTAACTAGTGCCTGATCATTCTCCCCATCATCCCTTCCCATCCCCTTACCTTTTGTGTGATGTCTTTTAAGCCTGAAGGCAGGCTTATCACTAATCTTGGTAAGCCACTTTTTTTTGGGGGGGGGAGGTTCTTTACTGGGGTAAAATTCCTCCAGATAAATAATTACGGGAGAAAAATAATTGTTCTAAAAAGCAAACAATACTTTATTCATTTTCACGAGATGCACATGTGTTGTAACCGGCATTATCTGATGTGAGGCTTTCAGAACAGGGACTGGTCCGCATTGGTGTTGGTAGGGCAGAAAGCAGGAAGGCGAACAGTATGTGGAGTCATAGCAAATGGCATGTGGAGCCTCTTTTCCTTCTCCAGTTCTACAGAAGCAATGCTGAGTCTAAGGGGGAGGAAGCTGCCAGGCAGTGCCACCCGCTGCCCTGGTTTTAAGAAGTTGGGTAGGTGGACACTTGATGGAGGCAGTGCTACATTCGCCCTAATGGACTGGCCTCCAGGGTGCTTTTAGCTCTCCTCTCTACACGCAACAAGGAATGTTTCTTTTAAAATGGGACTAGTCATCTGCAGCTTTTACAAACATTTATAAATGATTAAATTTTTAAAAAACACACATTTAAACTTCTGCTGCCCAATTAACTGGAGGAGAAACATTTTTGGTCTGTCAAAAAGTTTTAAGAGTGATTAATCTATTCAATTAAAACACTAAATGATGCAGCCCTATTAAGAAACGTTACACAAATAATCTGTTTATAAAAAGGACAGCTTCCAGAGTTCCATCACTGGCTAGGGCAAGGGTGGAGGATATTTTTGGCCCAGCAAGCCAGATCCCAGTGCTATCATCAGCACTGATTTTGGGCAACATCGTGCTGATTTTGGGTGAGATCTTGCCTCAAATAGTTTGAGATCTTGTACCCAATTCCAGGTGAGCTCTCACCCAAAATGGACACAGTCCATTTTGGTGCTTCTCCACCACTGGTGGAGGCAGCAGGGCATCTGTAAGTGTGCTGCCTGCAGGGCTTCTGCCGCCTGAAGCAGTGGCCTCACCCTGCCTAATGGTTGGGCCGGTTCTGGCTCATGTCCTCTTTGTCGGCTTCATTGACATCTGATTGGCCACTGTCAAAACAGGATGCTAGACTGGATCCAGAAGGACTCTTCTTCTATGTTCTTATCTCAAACAAACTGAACTATCATAGAAAATGCAAACTTAAGCCAACAAACCACCCCACCTTGCCGTATCATTGTTGCTCCTTCTACAAGGTGGCACCATGCAATTTATGATTAGAGGATGTACCACAGGTATATTTTCCGACCCACAATGGGCAATTTCAGTTCTAAAATAATCTCCTTTGTCCTCTGCTTGCTCACCTATCTATTTACTTGTGACACCTCTACCAAGTAGGAATGTGCTGTAAAAATGACCTTTGCAGGTGTTCTGGCACCCTCAACCCATCATTGTACCTCTGCTAAATACCAGAGAATGCCTGCTGCATGTCAAATGTGGCTTAAAATAACTAGGATTAATTAGGGGTTTTCATCATATCTGCATGAAAATTTGAAGCAGGTCAATATTTAGCCTTTGCTTCCCAAGGAAACATTTGCAGATTACTGACAAGGTCAGAATTGCTAAGTGATGAGTGACCTATGTTAACAAACTCTCCCTGAGATGGCAGAAACTGGGTTTTGCTGCAACTTCCTGCAAAAGCTACCTGCGTTACACCTTTAAAGAGTACTTTGAAAATTTAACTTTATTCAATGTTTCCACATAACAAAGATGTTATGCCTCCTCCTTGAGAGGTGCGGAGGGTGGCAACACGAGAACGGGCCTTCTCTGCAGTGGCTCCCCGTCTGTGGAATGCTCTCCCCAGGGAAGTTTGCCTGGTGTCTTCATTACTCACACTTAGGCGCCAGGCAAAAATATTCCTTTTTAACCAGGCCTTTGGTCGATCTGTTTGATATCCTATACCCTTTTAAAATGTGGCTCTTTTCTGGGTGTGTGGGTGGGTGGGTGTTATTGGGTTGTTGTTTTTATTTTGATTACATATGTTGTGATCTTTTCCGTGAGACCTCCAGGTATAGGTTGGTATATAAACTCAATAAATGATGATGATGATGATGATGTATTTCAGGAATAAGAAAAGGCATGGGGCATCCCTTTGAAATGCTGAGGAAGAGATCTGGGCAAGATTGTGTTCTTCTAAGCTTCCTCTATCCCTAAAAGCTTTTTCATTTTTGTTTTCTTCACAATTGGAATGGGATGGTTCATTGTGCCCTTACAATAGTATGATAGGTTATGCTATGACTGCTGTGGAGAACCATTTAAGTGAG